GAACTGAGAAAATCTTTTTTATATCACTGTCTCTAATTTCCCAAGAATTCTTAAGGAGACAACTCAGAAAAGAGGGTAAAATCAACTTTTAGTGGGAGTCATAAATTATATTAAAGCTGTTTTAAACAGTCACTGCAAAGAAAGTCACTATTAGGCCTCTCCCTACATCAAATTTCTTCTATACCATCACAAAAGAATACCAAAACATTTCACTCTATTCCTACAATCTTTTTTTAAAGATCCTGGGCCATAGGTATGGAAGGAGAGCATATTTATTGACCTCAGAAGAACAAGAAGCTGCACAAATAGGATATTTTCTCAGTGATGTCGCCTTTCTTTTTTTTTTAAAAGATGACCAGTAAGGGGATCTTAACTCTTGACTTGGTGTTGTCAGCACCATGCTCTTTTTTTTTTAAAAGATGACCAGTAAGGGGATCTTAACTCTTGACTTGGTGTTGTCAGCACCATGCTCTCCTAACTGAGCCAATGAGCCACAGGCCGGCCCACTGATGTCATCTTTCAATATGAAAGGCCCAGGCTCTGATCACAGGAGGCTATCTTCTGCAAATAAAAATAACAGTGGCAGCAGCTATCATTTACTGAGCAGTTACTGTGTTCCAAACACTGCTCAGGAACTCATCTAGGTCACCACATTTACCTGAATTCAACACATGCCAAAAAATTTACTTTCAGTTACTAATAGCAGGGACTTTAAATTTTTTAATTATTTTTCACCATTAGAAAAGTACTGTAGGCTTATTTATACTTACAGAAAATACACACAAGTATAGAGAAGAAAAGAAGAATCACCCATAATCTATACCTCAGAGATAACTATTATGAATAACAGCAATGATTTCTGGTATATCTTTCTAAATTTTGTTTCCATATTTGTATGGAATTCGTTCTTTTTTTTGGTTTGGGTTTTTTTTTTTTTTTTTTTTTTTGTGGCTGGCCAGTACAAGAATCCAAACCCTTGACCTTGGTGTTACAAGGCTGTGCTCTAACCAATTGAGCTAACCGGCCTTCTCTGTATGGATTTTGTATCCATATTGGATATGTTTCCATATCCAAAAAATTTTATGTAATTTACATGACAATATTTTAAAATCATGCTTTTTTCCAACTAAAACTGTAACCACTTTTCCATTCATTAATTACTTTTAACATAGTTATTTTAACAGTTATCCACTGTTCTATTACGTACACATACTATAATTTATCTAACCATTTCCCTATCATTGGAAATTTAGGTAGCCATTAATTTTTATAATAAAAAAACACTGTGGGGGCCGGCCCGTGGCTCACTCGGGAGAGTGCGGTGCTGATAACACCAAGGCCCCGAGTTCGGATCCCACATAGGGATGGCCGGTTCGCTCACTGGCTGAGCGTGGTGCTGACAACACCAAGTCAAGGGTTAAGATCCCCTTACCGGTCATCTTTTAAAAAAAAAAAAAAAAAAAAAAAAACTGGGAGAAAATTTTTTTTCCTTAAATCTTTTTTCACATTTTTCATAAACTCCCCGGGTTAAATATATCA